GAGAGAGAGAGAGAGAGAGAGAGAGAGAGAGAGAGAGAGAGACAGAAGGAGGGAGGGGAGAATAAAGTGAGGATTAAATGAGTGGATGAATGAATACAAAAAGACACCGTGAAGTTACTCATGGATGTACTCCAATCGCCTTGCCGTTTGTTGGCAAGGGGCTTAAATTGATGTGAAATTATCAGTGAAACACCATTAAAATGAATCAGTTAGGCAAACTGTTTGTAAAACAAAATTGATTTTATATTTATCGTGAGAAATTTAAACACGATGCTATAGACCAAAATGCTCAAATTGACTGCCTAATAGCAATTGCCAATTTCCACTAATATATGCCATACCCTAACCACTGACAGCCATTCTCGAGGCAGCTAACTTATCTCCATTTCTAACACGGATAAAAGTTTGTGATTACATTCAAATCCCAAATTCTGGATTGTAATTAACTGAATTCGACATTGGACTTGAACCATCCATTTAGTATATAGATAATAATTTATTTATTATACAATGAATGAAAGGAAATAAGCTATTTAGAATACGTGTGTTCAACTTAATAAACACTCTCGTGAAACAGCAATCATTTATTATAATGAATGAAATCCTATGCCGCTTTGCATAAATTATTTTTCCAATCTGCGCTGCAAATTTCGAACTACTACAAATTATATCATGACACTCAAGATTACGCTAATTCAAACGGTGCCAGAAGAGAATTAAGGTAATAGAAGTGGGAGATAAAGTTCGAAATAATTACATTTCACCCATAGCAATCAACATATAAGTATACTACTGGAATGTGAAGTGTATTTTTTAAATAAGAGTCTTGCTGCAAGAGCTGTATCACCTAACATCTGTATATTCACGTGATGTGACCGCCCTTTTCAGGCGAACTTTCCGAGGGAGTTTTCTCATATATTGTGCTACGTTTTCTTGTCTTACTTTGCCACGTCAGATTCGCCCGACCGGGGGCATGACATGATATACTTCAACTCATCAGCAATGTGTCACGTAAGCAATCAATGAATGAATACTTTGTGTTTAGCTATGCTGAACCATAACATAAAAAGGAACAGAGTAAATGAATGGGAATATAACGGATAGGAGTTCATCGATAAAACAAATTGACCATTGATGCAAACCTGATAAATAATCTCGCACTGGTCACGCAAAATTATTTCTGATGAATTAGTTGACAATCGGACTCGCACAGAAGCAACCACCGAGTGAAATCCATGTTCATGCATTCATTCCGACAAGGGGTTCTCACCACACCGTTGGACAATGGTACAAACAGCCGTTTTGATTAGAACGTCATACATTTTAAATCTTTTCCTCAAGGTCACCAGCCCGTTGTGTGGGTGTGTGTGTAGCTGAGTAGAGCCTGAGGACATAACTTCCCATTTAGTATCAGTTTTAAATATGCCGAAGTGATATTTTCTACCCGGTAATAATTAGTGTTAATCAGAAGGGATTCTGTGAGGAGAGAGACATGTGAAGATGATCGCCTACTGGTTAAATTAACGGTTTTCGCTTTTTCACGCGCGGCAACTAGTTTGGGTCGATGAGGGATAATAATATCTAGCTGCGTGACCAGGCTGAATGTGTCTGGGCTTCTTTGCTCGC